CATTCACATTCGCAGTCCGACACGTTATCTCTCACTACTCCTGAAGCACCCTACCACGGTTAAAGTTAGCTGAATGGCAAGAAGTCAAACGATTGAGCTCTTGCGGAGGGACTCAACCGGGAGGCGACACAGGTCTTCGTCAGTCAGTACTATATAGTGTTACGTTTAGAAACATGAAAATGGAGTGGTGGGGAGGAGGGGTAGTTTAACACCAATTCAAGTTATGATAAGAAGTACTGTGTGTCATTCAGCCCGTGCGCAAACTCTGTGAGCGCGCCGTGGCCCTCAGGTTGTCTGTGCACTCTTGGGACCTGCATCCAATCCATGGGGCAGGATGTCTGAGAGGTCCGGAGTCACTCGTGTGCTGCTGCGGCGGCTAAAGATCTTGGGCACCTGAGATCGAGACCCTTGAGCCTGAGGAAGACCTGCTGAGGTTTAAGTCTTTACCAGCTTGAGGTCAAAGAAAACCAGGATGCACAATTCCTGACATACACCCAGGCGTGTCTTTCCTGGCACCAACTTTATTTGGTGCAACAACTAAAAACCACCTAGATGGCCAAGCTCTTGCTTTCGTCACTGGTCCCAGGCACCCCAGGCACCCTGATCCTCCTGATTGCGCTGGGGATGCGCCACTCCTTTGATGTCCCCCCGTTCTTTTCCGCTACCTGACTCCGGCAAGAAGATCCACAAGGCAGACTATCGGAGGTGCTGGGCTCCTGGAGCAATAGTACGGAACATGTGTGGCCGAAATTGAGCTATGTTCTACCTATGCAAGCCACGACAATCCCAACTGTTGAGTGAATGCATCTCTGGAAAAGGATCTGGTGCTGTTCGGGTGAACCCGTCACGCATTTCGGCCCAACCACAAAGGAATGCCGAAGCTTCCAAACCTTCCTGATTGCAACATTCAGCGATTTCCTCCCCTGCTCATCAGGTCGTGTCCACTCGACCCCACTTCAGTAGTAAGGTTAGCATCTAGGTCACATCTGACCTCCCATATTCAGTTCCCATGACTACATTATTACCAGGAGGTGGATTCCCTTCTCAAAGACAATAGCCCCAAAACTCCCAGTTTTCCGCAACCTATAGCTCAAACCTGGGGTAATTCCCAAAGGTGCCGCACAAACAAGCATTTGTAATAAAATGGCTCCAATCTTGGAAGTCATCATTTTGAGCCATAGCCATTCAAAAGTTTCTTTCCCATCCTCCTGGCAAACAGGAGTGTTGCTGCTGGGCCGTGGCTTCACTAGAGGCCGCTCGGACAGGTCAAACTCCTCGCCCTCGCCGTGATCCTCACACGCTTTCCCGGTGTCTCAAAACAAGGGAACCCTCAACCCTTTGTTGAGGTGGCTTTTTAAAATTATTAGGACCAACTCTGACTGTTTTTAGGGAAAAGTGTCTATCTAGGCTTGCTTCCTGGCCAAGGGTTGGTCAAAAAGAACTTGGACAGGGGGGTGCTTAAAACGAATGAGATAGATTCTGTATGCACCCTGGTGCTCAAATTGGCTTCCGTCAACAGGTCACGCAAGTGTCCAACAAGACATCCCTTTCGAACAATCCTCCTCGGGAAGCCAGAATGAGCAATCGAACAGAAAGCTCATCGAAGGAAACCCCTTTCTGATTGGCAGTCAAACGTTGATGTTTTACCCTGCGAAAGGAATCTAGGCCCCATGGACATGTATCGGCATGACGCCTTTACGGTAGAATGGAGATCCCAAGAGTAAAGCTGAGTCTGTTTCTCAATTCGGGACAGAAGCAACGTGCCATGAGTCACACAGGAAAGCCATTTGAAGGCTCAGATCCTATCCCCGGAACTTCAGCCCCCAAAAGTGGGAGGATGTATCGGATGGGCCGAAAAACGATTCGTCTGAGCACCAACTTAGACTTCGCAAATGTGTCCTGACGTAAGCGCAAACGGCAGTTTTACTTTTGGCTTCCCTTACCCAAAGTCAGCTTGGCTCTAATCGGTGGTTTGGATTGGGGTGGTTTCCTGTTTACCCTCCACAAGAATCTGGGGTTCAAATCCAAATCCAAACCACCAATCCAAAGCGCCAACTAAGGAGCCCTCAGAAAAACAGACACCCACAAAACCGCTCGCTTCCGCCTCTTCGTTGGCTGCCAGGTGCCCGGAGCAGAGAATGGCCGGCAGCGGCCGCAGGTTGCGCCCGGTGCGGATGCTGGTGTTCTTGAGGCTCTGCTGGCGGAGCACGAGGCTCCTGAACCCATGAGAATTTCTCCGGGCGTGGCCCCGGCGAACGGTACCCTTTTTCGGGGTTGGTTCAAAGGGAAACTCAAGGAAACCACCCTTTTTTGCGGGGTCCCGGTAGCTTGACACGCAAAAGAAAGGGTACCCTATGTTGGTTGATGTCAAATGGAAACCCTGGGAAAGACAAAACAACACGAGGGCGAGGTACGGCCAGGCCACAATTACAGCCGGTGGACAAAATCGTACACTGTTGGGACGAACCACCTCTATGAATACTGGGATACACCGATCCGCCATCTACCAACTGGATTTGTCATCCACGGCATGGCAAGAAATCCAAGCAAAACACATGTGAATTCTAGGTCTTTACCTGATAGCTACGGAAATGAAGGGAACCCAATGTATCGCAGCTGTCAAGAAAGAGCCCCCACCCCAAACAAGAACCCTTGTGAGTGACCTTAGACGAGCACGCTAGATTGGTGTAGTATAAGGAAGCTATCTTTGACAATGGGGGACCTCCAAACCTGACGATGGGGCAATGGTCTTATTTTGGCTTGTGTTACACCAACCATAAAAGGTTCCTCCGTTGCACCCCACACGATCTGCAAGGACTACGATGTTGCAAGAAACGCACAAACCAAACAAGTACACACCATCTCTACTGTTGGTATGGTAGCAACAAACTTTGTTTTTGCAGACCCCTAGTAAAAATGAACAGAACCAAACAACTAAAAAACCAAAAAACATGCCAAGAAGAGCGAAGACACGACAGCCGAAGGAAACACAACGAATGACAAATCAACAACCCATCCGGGTTTTGATTCCGGACTAAAAATTGGGTGAAATTAAGCCATCAAATTCGGGGCAGTTACTGCCCACAAGCTGTGAAGTCTTCTTCTTTGCAAGTCAAACACATGGATCGGCCATTTTTGGGGCCTGGCATCATGGTCTAAAGAGAACTGCCTGGTGTAGTTGCCCCCAAACTGCAGAAACTCCATGAATCTCCATGAAGGCAATGATGAGCCCCATGTGTCTAAGTGCAGTTAAGACTCTGCATGAGGTTCAGCTTTTCCACGTGCTTTTTGAGCTGTTGCTGCGCTTCCATCTGAGACGGTCGCGAGTCTGCATACATACCTGCACGCGGCAACTTGATACACAGCTCGCATCTCGAAAATTAGGGCTGGAACAGCAACCCATTCACGAGTAATGACGTTGGGGCGTCCCGAAAGGAAACTATCCAATTTCAGCTTGGGTTTTTTGTTTTTGGTCGCTGTCTCTCTTTGAGGTTCCAATCTGAGAATTGGGATTTCTGGGCGTTAAGCGCACGTTGCAACCTTCCCACTGCCTTTCTCTTTGCGCATGCCATTTCCGGACAGGGACTCTTGTATAACCAGGTCAAATTGACACTTTGCCGTACGAGCAATTGTGCTCTTTGGAAGAAACCTCTTCCCAACAAACGCACATAGCAAACCAAGCTGCCACACATCTGAAGGATTGACTGCACATGTGCCAGTGCCGTCATCTGATGTGCTGGCACATCCAGGTTCAGCGACAGCGTTGTGGCTGCACCTCCCGCTTTTATGTGGATCGTCAAATCCATGGCTCACTCTTGAAACATCCAGTCACTTGACATGCTCGGGCCAAAACAAGACGCACGCCGGCACTTCAGCGGACAAAAGCTGGCGAGCCCGGGGTAGAAATCAGGCAACGTGCCGCACTCTACGAGACAGCAACCATCAAGAGGCCTTTATTTAGGGCAAAGGGGCTTCGACAAAAACAATTGCTGGATCCTTCAAAGTTCTCAATTCTGCTAGCGTTTGTGAGTTGTAACCTGGACGGGCATATGCGCAACACGCACTTGCGCGCAAATAGAAAGCTTGGCTTGGACGAGATGTTCGAGCGTTGCGGCCAAAATGGAAGCCTGGCATCATCCTTGGACATGTCTTGGACTGGATGAGTTGCTGCCGTGCGACTCGTGGCAATCTCGAAACGGACAGCGCATGCTTCGGCTCAGCCAGGTCGCAACGCTCCATACGACAAGACCCCAAACGCAAGCGAGTCCAATAACTTGCGGACTAGGTCGATTGCTTTCCTTGTGAAGTCCCCCTTAGACAACTATGTTCAAAGGCAGGTTACCCCAATCAGAGGTCATCTATGTTATGCAAAAGTGAAGGATACTTGACACCCCTTATTCATCAATGAGGCGTTGATGAAGCCTGGTCGGCCTGACTTGCAGCATGTAGAGCGAGAGAGAGAGAGAGTCAATCACATCCCAACACATTCCCCTTTCGTAACGTGTTCAAGTCATTGAACCCTTGTCGGCGCAGTGCTCGGACAGAATCAACATCTTAAATTGAGGTTGTCTAGCCAAAACCATGTTTGTTTTTTCCCCCGCTGGGCCCCGCAAAATGGCTTCGGCTTTCTTGCTGTGTTCTTGCTTTAACCAACCAACAGAGGGTTCCACCGAAAAAAGACGAGCCGCCCATGTAAAGAATTAGAAAACCGGGCGCACCAATTGGCTTGGATGGGACTGTCCAATCTTCGGTGCGAACAAATAGCCATTGGTCTGGGGCGATTGTTGACTTTCCCCTGCGCCCCAAAATCGATCGGTAACAAGTTGGTGCCATTTTGTAAGGGGCATTACCCACAGTGACATGATCTCTTGCAAATGGTACAAGGCAGCTTGGGTGAACCTTGTTGACTGACCAACTGGATTCCATCCCTATGATCAACTCCTGTGCTTTGAACAACCGTTGGACTGACCGGCCATCGCGAGTCTCACGACACAATCTGCCTGAGATCTCTGGAAACTCAGACTGGTAGCTCGTGGCAGGCATACGGTACGCCTCGGCGGACGCCGATGCGTTCACCAGACCAAGTTTGGTGAGCTCAACGGCAAATGCTGGCTCCGGTTGTTGGTCAAAGCAGCAGACTTTGAGTTGGACCGTGCCCTATTGATATTTCTTAAGCCGTAGTCCAAGCGAAGGTTGACATTCAATCATCCCATACATCTTTGTTAAAATCAAGCAATGCACTGTTAGATTCCTCTCTGAAATACGATGCCTTCCATAGAGACTCCACTCTATGGGAAGAACATCGCAGCGAGCGCCCGGCAAGCAGTGAAGTGGACCAAATAAATAAAACAAAAGGAAAACCAACGTCAACTTCAGCCAAGTCTGTTTGAACATCCGGCCCTAAGAACTTCGACCTAGATCTTAACCTGGCCGCTCTCCAGCTTCTGCGTGGTCGCGAAAGTGAGGCAAGCCGCTAACGCATGGCAGCCTTGGGATCTTGGTGGCGCTGGCGACCAGCGGATTGAGTTGACAAGCCAAGTACCCGACATTGACACGCGCCGCGAGCTTCGGACAGTTTGTCCATGCAATGACCTTGTGTTCCGGCATCCTGGACGGGACATGCTGGGGTTCTTGTGTTTAACCCGGATGGTCGGCGTCTCTCACCTGTCCATGTGGCTGTGGCGCTGCCACACCAACTGGTCCAAGCAGTGCTAACCATGGTTTCACGTGGAACACCCTTCATCCCATGTGGCGAACAAACACAAAACTGCTCTTGACAAGTCGCGTGCTTGCCTCTACTGTCCAACGCCTTCTGGGGCAGCATAAGCGGGTCTTGAATGGATTGCTTGCTCCTGGCTCAGCCTTGTCCCAGTCCAAAATCGACACTTGCCATGTTGGTATTCCTTTGGTCCTTTCGGGCCATGGAAAAAGTTGGCATTCGATGTTGAAGTTAAACACCCTCCGAGAACACAAAAGCACGAGTGGCCTGGAAAACTAAAAGGACCAACAAGGAGCACTGGCTGAGTTCCTGGCACTTTGTTCCGGCCGCGGTGCCTGGCCATCTTTTGACACATGCCCATGAGGCCACTGGCGACTGAAACTGAACATCATCCCAAATAGCCAGCAAGGAAAAATCGCAAAGCGGCCGTGCGCTCCGGACGCAATCCCCCGGAGCTCGGGAGTGGCGACCAACGGTCTCCTGCTGGAAACGATTTTTTCATCAATCAGCCGACATTCGGCTGCATGCTGTAGATGCCGCGGCCAAAGTAGAGCGTGGACGCACCGAGCAAAAGCCTCCGGCTGCATGCTTGGTCTTGAGATGTCATGAGTTAGCGCATTTTACAATCATTCGAGAGCAAATGTGCGTGTACATGTGCACAATATGTGGTTCAAGGTGACTTCTCAAAGCAATCCTTCTCCCCCGCCGTCCCTAGTCTACGCATTTTTACTTGTGCAGCCGAGCGGCAGCATCAGCAAACTGAGCAAATAAAGCCTCAAAACGCAGCACGGCAAAGCAAATTGTGTTGCCTAACATGCGAACACCCACAAGCCCGGGTGGGTGCCAAACTTCATGATGACCAATTTCCAGCGCAAGGACAACTGACTCCCTGACCCTAGTTCAACAGACCGATGCGAATAAACCCCTCTCAACATGGTTGTTCATGCATTTGCGCATAGAAAATGCGCACGTCTGAACTCAGGGATCTTCAAGACACTGTCGTTCGCCCACATATCGGACCGGCAAAGGCACAACCTACTGGGGTCGCTATACCGGGCGTCATCCTTTTGTATGAACCCTGGAGTTGTCAAGGCAGAGTGAACAGGAATGCGACTCCCTCTTCTGAAATGGCACATTCCTGCATTCATCCATGCGCGGTCGCCCATACCCTGGAAGTCTGACAGTGGTTCATGCAAAGCAGCGCGGCTTGAACAGTAGGATCTGTGACGCGAGCTGGCGATTGAACTGCCCGTGTTTCAATTTGAATCTCCCCGCCTGACACGACGGAACATTGACTTGCACTTTTGCTTGAACCAGGGATGATTCTGCCCATCCTCAAAATCGCCGTAAGAATCCCCGTCTTCATTTTCGTGCGATCCTCAGCCAGAACTGCGGGACTCCGAAAGAACAAAGAAAAACAAACAAGCAAACACACAAAACAACCAACCAACCTATCAACCAAACAAACGAACAACAACCGAACAAACAAACTGAGATACCAAGGCTATATAATTTGAATACCAATGCTTGGTTGTACCACCTCCACTCCCAACCTGCAAGGCCCCAATACAAGTAACGGAGCCGCAAATGGCGCGTGGGCTCGGATGTTTTCTACCTGGTGCCGTTTACCGCTTTACCACGGTTAGCGGTTTTGAGCCTTGAGCCACGTTGCGTGGCTATGCGCTTGAGCCAAATGCCACGTTGGTTGGCATCGCTCTGGGAATGCAACACTGTTCACACCCTTACGCGGTGATGCTCATTCAGAGCTTCCCGCGCAGTGGCCAAAACGTGATCCCTATTTACAGTGGCACTTCCTACTCGACTACTTTAAGCAGCAGCAATTGTTTTTCCTCTTTCCGCAAATCATATTGAGCACGTCCAGTGTGCCACATTGTGCAGAATGCATATTCGAGTGGAGTGAGATTGATACACATCCCGCCATCAGAACTACTGGAGACCCGAGCGGAATGTTGGACGGAGACATTATATCAGGAATCCATGCGAATAATTGGAATGAAACTGCAAATAAGCATAGTGAATCAGGTAAGCCGGAGACCCGTTGTTACCTTCATCACTGAAGCCAATAGCAATGAAATCATGAAATTCATAGCAACTCTGGTAAACCGGAGACCCGTCCTCGCCATCTTCGCTGACGCCACTAGCCCTCATCCCAGGATTCGTCGCGGTCGCGAACGTCCCTCCTCCATGGCTTACTCTTTTCTGGCGTAGTTGTTTGACTTTGCCCTTGGACTTGCCGGTCGGTTCATCTTGATGACCCAACGCTGAAGCTCGTTCTTGTTCACGACCTTCCCCCTTTTTCACGCTCCTCTGAGCGACACTTCTTCTGAGCAACAGATCGGCACTTCTGAGCAACACTTTTGCGCAACACTTTCTGAGCGACACCTTTGAGCAACTTTTCTGAGAAACAATTTTGATCAACAGTTGTGATCGACACTTCTCAGACCTTCTGAGCGACACTTCTGAGCAACACTTCTGATCGAAAATTCTGTTGAGCAAACACTTCTTTCTGACCGACAGGTCTGCTCGACACTTCTGATAGACAGTTCAGAGCAACAACCCTACACACATAAGGCATGCTTCTGAGCAACACTTCAAGCAACACTTTAGCACACACACACACGCACACACACACACACATGTCACACGCATGTAATCGGCACGTCTCAGCAACACTCCTGAGCGACAATTCGAGCGACATTCCTACAAACATATCTGAGCGACGCTTTTGAGCGACACTCCTGAGCAACACTTCTGAGCAACGCCTCTGAGGAACCCTTCTGAGCAACAAATCTGCGCGATACTCCTGAGCGACACTGTTGTCAACACCTCCAAACGACACGAATCCGCGACACTTCTACACACACACACACCCCAGCAACACTTGTGAGCAAGGAGACTCCTGAGCGACGATCCGAGCGACAATTCTACACACATGTCTGAGCGACACCTCTCAGCGACACTTCTGAGCCACACTCCCACACACGCATCCGCGACACGTCTGAGCGACACTTCTAGACAAACATCAGCGACACTTCTGCGCGACACTGCTGAGCGACAGTTCTACACTGATGAAGAGCTCTTCTGATCGACACTTCTGAACGACGCTTCGGAGCAACATTTAAGAATTCCGATCGACACTTCTGATCAAGCCTTCATACCGACACTTCTGAGCAACACTTCTGGTCGACACTGCTGACCGACACTTCTGGTCGACACTTCTGAGCGACACTGCTGATCAACGCTTCTCATCCACACTTGTGAGCGAGAGCCAACCCTTGCAAACGCTTGCGGACGCAGCGACACGTCTCGCGAACGCATGCTGCTCCCCAGACCCCTACTTTAAACGAAAACCCTTCTGCTACGCACTCGGGAACACGCACAGAAACAAACACACAAACCAATCAACAAACAAAGACAAACATGAAGCAACAAGCAAACAAACAAATAAACAACCAAACACACAAACAAACAAGAACCTGCGATGCCATCCCAAAAAAACACATTCAACACTGCTGGGCACCGGGCATCGCCACAAAGAGGTCCAGCACCGACGTGTCGGCCGTGCTGGGCGGCGGGCCAAAGCTCTGGTACATGAGCAGCGCAATGGTCACAACGTATCCTGCGAACGCTGATCGGCGAGGGGTTTAGCAAGATTTTCACCTGGTCCCAAAAGCTTGGCTCATAGGCTTTCTGAATGGGTGGGCCTTCCAGAGAGGCTACCGTTCATGCTAGATTCTCCCAACATATACCCTCCCACCAATTAATGTGCAACCTGACAGGGGGCCTGGAAGATCATCTTCATTTTGAAGGGACCCCCTGTCAGGTTCCATGTTAGTTGGTGGGAGGTTGTACATTAGCTCTGGCCGATGTTGCCAATGGGGTCATTCCTCAAAGAACGCCACGCCAGGCAAACTGTTGTTTGCCTCGCCCGTGGCTTGTTTTCGCTGGGGTCGTTCGAGGGGCTGCCACCTCCTACTGGGGGATAATCTTTCAGGGGTCAAGCGGAATGATTGGCAAAATGTTGGACCCCTTTCTCGTAACAATTCAGAACTGCACAAAGGCACCTCTATTAAATCCAATGACCCCCCCTCCAAAAAAAAGGAGGAAACCACAGGGTTTCCTGGCGGGTTAAGGAGTTTCCATGTTAGATGTTGGTGAGTAAATCCCGTTTCCTCATGGTAAAATTATATGTGTATGAATGTCGCCCCCTTACTAAGGTAGATCACCATGAATGCAGGTGGTTGCTCATTCGGAGCCTACTACTGATGGACGAAATCCTGCACCTAAGAAACCATGGGAAGCCATTCAATCCGTGCCTGATAAGTCAGAGGCGTACACGAGGAAGGTGCAAGTGCCTGAAGGGCTCCGGCACGGGAAGGCCCACGAGAGAGACCATGACTTTCCTGGGTGTAAATACATACTATGGGTGTTGCTCAAAATAGAAATCGGTCCACTGCGTAAAATGCCGAGGGTGTCCTTTTGGTTTCCCTTTAAATACCAAAGAGGGGTCCGCCATGAATACGAAAGTACCATCATCCCAGAAAATGAACAAACACTTCTAGAGTGAGGCGGACAAACCCTTCTATTCAGAAACTCTATTTCCCGGCTGTCAGCTTTTGCCAGCTCATCGTGTGTCGACTGGAACAATGGCTTCGATCACCGTGCCACTTTTTCTATGCTTTGTTGGGAATGCTTCTTAAAAAAAAAAAAAACATGTGTTGCTCCGTCAAATGTGTGCATTCTTTGGCTGGAATCCAGGCCCAATATCTCTGACGCACTATAATCCCTTCATTTTTGTCTTGTCAGATTGCTCTTATGATCTTGCATATTCTGAAACGAAAGCAGCGCGCTCAATTCATTGGGACCACGCGCAAGCATCGATCAACTTGAGAATCCCTGTAAAAACATGAACAAAGGAAATAGTCAGTGCTGGCAAATCGGCGAGCCCATGGTGTTTTGCCTGTTTCTGCTACAAATAAGGCTCTGGACATCTTGGGAGGGTGTAACAACAAATTACGCAACTCTGCTTGAGCAAGTTGGTACTAGGTTAATTGTTTGTTGCAAGTCGGAAACTGCGCACACAACCAAACCAACTTCTGTGAAAATAGCAACAATGTGCCAAATTGCTAAGAATGGCCTCAGAAAAGGCAGTTCCAGGAAGAAACAAACATATGAAAATCCCCAAAGTCCACCAGGAGAAGACAAAACAACAACAGATTAAATTCCTGGGGTCCAAGATTCAAGATTGCCCATATTTAAGTTCGGCTGTTCTCAAAGTAGTGTCTCAATCCATGTGAGTTGGGTCTTGGGGTAT